GGTTATATAGGTTGTACCAGGTTATATAGGTTGTCCCAGGTTATATAGGTTGTACCAGGTTATATATATATACCAACAAATACCTGATAAGCATGGCTGTGCCATGGGATCTCCAGTGTCACCCATTGTTGCCAATCTCTACATGGAGGAAGTGGAACAGAGAGCCCTAAACTCCTTTGAGGGAACAACGCCAAGCCATTGGTTCCGTTATGTGAATGACACCTGGGTCAAAATCCAAGCCAAGGAAATAGAAGCGTTCACCAGACACATTAACTAGGTCGATAACAACATCAAGTTCACCAGAGAGGATGCAAACGACAACAAACTGCCTTTTTTGGACTGTTTGTTTCAAATGGAGAGAGAGGACAGCCTCAACATTGAAGTTTACAGAAAACCAACCCACACAGACCAGTATCTTCTGTTTGACTCCCACCATCCACTGGAACACAAACTCTCTGTCATCAGAACTTTACAACATCGGGCTGAACATGTCCCCACGAAGACAGAAGGGAAGGAAAAGGAACTGAAATTCAATTCAAAAATACTTTATTAATCCCAAAGGGAAATTATTTGTTGTTGTAACTCGTTATTCTCATTTCATTAAGAGATGTTCTAGATGCTGATGCTGTAGACAGGAAGGATTTCTTGTAAAGGTCCATCCCACAGAAACACATTCAAGAAGCTCTCCAATCTTGTGGATATCTGAACTGGGCTTTTGTCAAGTCAGCGAGGAAATCTACAAAACACACTAATAAACTGAAAAAGGAGAACAACAGACGTAAAAACATTGTCATCCCTTATGTTGCTGGAGTATCAGAGAAATTCAGAAGGATCTTCAACAAACACAAGATCCCAGTACATTTCAAACCCAGCAGGACCCTCAGACAGAGGCTGGTCCACCCTAAGGACAAGACACCCATACACAAACAGAGTGGTGTAGTGTATGCGGTCCAGTGCAGCGAGGACTGTCCAGACCTCTACATTGGAGAAACTAAACAGCCTCTTCACAGACGCATGACTCAACACAGGAGAGCCACCTCCTCTGGACAAGACTCAGCTGTTCACCTCCACCTCACAGATAAGGGACACTCTTTTGAGGACCAAAATGTGCACATTTTGGACCGAGAACACAGATGGTTTGAGAGGGGGGTGAAGGAAGCAATTCATGTAAAAAGAGAAAAGTCGTCTCTTAACAGAGGAGGAGGCCTCAGATTTCCACTTTCAAAAACATCTAATGCAACTTTAAAACAGATTCCCAGCCAGTTTTCACACCTGATGGGAACAGAGGGGTCTCGACTGTGAATTAGAGGAACAAAGACCTACTGTTTAGGTTTTTAGGGGTGAACTGCCAATCTACATATATGTGTGTGTGTGTGTGTGTGTCTTATGTGTGTGTGTGTCTTATCTCACTCAGCCTTATAACCTGTATCTCTCACTCTCTGCTCTTTGAATTGAGAAAGATCCTCGGATGAGGAGCGAAACGTCTTCTGTTACAAATAAAGTCCAGTTGTTTTTGTATTGAACGCTTTTTGAATTCATCATGTCCTGGATGACTGAGAATCTTCACCAGCACCTGATACACCGAATCTTCCACCATACATGTCGCTCCGCCCTCTGTGTCGCATCAGTCCATATTTGTCTAATAAAGTGGGAAAATCCATAAATACGTCACATCTACTTTACGTCACATCTACTTTACGTCACATCTACTTTACGCCACATCTATTTTACGTCACATCTATTATATGTCACATTTATTATTTGTCACCGCAGACACATCGTGTTTGTTACGCATCACCAATGACAACCCAGAAATTTGGGCCGGTGTTGTGCCAAAAATCAATGGGCTGCCAAATGGTGGCCACGGGAGCATGCACAGGGGGACTTTATAACAATAATTTAACAAGATCAACACTTAAAAACAATTATTTGTTTGTTCTACATCATAGTAAAGTTGTGTCTCAGCTGAACTTTACCTTAATAAATGCACTTTAATGGTCAAATGAGCTGCATTTCTCTGGGGCGGAGCAGAGAAATGCAGACGGTTGCTCCAGGTGAACTAGACGAAGGTGGCAGCCTGTGGCAATCTGATTGTGTCATTAATAGCCTTTTACCTTTTACATGACACAACGGCATGCCATATGACTCGAGTGCCATCTAGCAGCTGAAAATGTTAGTGTTCTATATTTTCAGTCAGGATGAATAAAACGGTCATATCAGAAAAAAAAAAGTTTTATAAATATGGGAAAGAGCATAAATACGTCGCTTCGCCCTATAAGTCACAGGACATGCAAATTATGCAAAAAAATACGACTTATAGGCCGAAAAATACGGTAATCAGTTTGGAAGGATTGAAAATTACTCTTAATGAATAAAATAAAATCAGAAAATGTAATACTTTTCTTTGCTTTTTCAGACCAAGTCCATGAAGCTGTACGAAGTGTGTCTAACGCTGCTGCAGGTTTACTCTAAAAACAACCAGAGCAGAAAGAGGAGCGACGCCACAGCCGAGGAGGACCAGTACCAGGACCTGCTGCTCATCATGGAGCTGCTCACCAACCTGCTGTCCAAAGAGTTCATTGATTTTAGCGACAACGGTGAGTTCTCTCGTTTTCTTTCTTAATTCTGCTGTTAAAGGAAAGTTTCACAGTTACATGACTTTGATTTTTGATCCAAACTGCTCTGTTTTGAAGACGAGGTGTTTCGAAACCAGGAACAGGGAACGCCAGCGTCGAGTCGGACTGTTTCAGCAGCAGATGTTGTTCTTTATGGAGTCAATATCGTTTTCCCCCTCATGTCTCAGGACCTGCTGAAGGTAAAACCAGGCTGAAGTAGTGGTTTAAAGTTCAAGTTTATTGTCATTCTCATCACATGTGGTACGTGAGGTGGAACAAACTTATGTACTCAAAGACCAGGGGTCCTCCCCCATAAATTTTTGAATAAAGTAGATGCCATTTCCTACATTCTGGTGTATTTTAACGGGTTTAACATCTAGTTTTACCTACACAAGTGTAGTGAACTAGGCCTCCGACAGCAATCTGTCCCCTGATCCCCCAGATTGTTGTCGGAGGCCTAGTTCACTACACAAGTAACACTTGATTCAATAACTATTATAGAGTTAATGCACAACAAGACCTGCCTGACCAACAGCTCTCCTTGTGTGAATAGAACGTGCTCTGCTTCTCTCACGCATCCTAGTCACAGTCTAAGAAACACAGTCAAGCCTAAGTTAAGTTTTAGGGAACAAAATCACTAGTCACTATGAAACAATAATGATAATATTCACTCCTTCTTAACAATGGCCTAGCATAAATCAATATGATCATCATTCATCATGTTTATTAGTAACTTAAAATTACCAATTAAAACTCCAGTAGTGGGCTAAGTCTACTGTAACGTTACCCAGTTGTAGGGTCAAGAGACAAACATGTAGCATTAGCACAGTATGAACAACATTCAGGAACTGTTTCTATAAGAACATTATCAAATATTTTACATGAACGGTGAGATCATGCCGCCCACAAGCAAATGTAACCCAGGGTGAGCTAACCTCAGATACACAAACAAAGATAGCTGTAATGGTGGAGGTAATGGTAAATGTACTGTACTTATTTTACACCTTTCTGTCTTGTCAGTATACTCAAAGCTCCAACATTTTTCAGTCAGGTCATCTGGACAGTTTATTTTATTGTGCTGACACGTTTCACCTTCGATCCGGAAGGCTTCATCAGTCAAAGAAACGGGAAACATCAGTCAAGGTGTTTCCTGTTTCCTGACTGAAAAATGTTGGATTGTATACCTGGAATATTGAGCATGGACTTTGTTACACTCAAAGCTCTTTACAACAACCTGTGCCTCACTGACCCATTCATACAGCTCTATACTAGATCTCTACAAAGATAACTGAACAAATCATTCTAGAGAGACTAATCAGAGCTTTATCACATTCATACACTGATGGGACACATAGCAGAGGCTGTGAGGGGGTCAGTGTCTTGCCCAGGGACACTTCAGCATGTGACTGCTGCTGGAATCGAACCCCCAACTCTTGTATTGGAGGACGACTGCTCTAACCACTCGGCCACAGCCGCCCGTTACCTGAGACATTTATTTCGTATTGACCAACGTTAAGGCAAAGAAGACAGAAAAAATGTAATCTGCTAATAACTTAAAATAGTTCCTGCAGTGGATGTTTTCATGTCGCAGAGCAACACAGGGCAAGAACTCAGTGAAATTCAGTGAAAAGCACAGGGTGTCCTTTTGCCATAATTTATTTTGAAAACTGCTATACCACAAAATAATCTCAATTAAGACAATTCCACTAGTAGGTCCAGAGAGTTTTTAAATAATAAACAAATCAAGTATTAGGCTTCTTGCTTGTAGTGCAAAACAGTGCAGAAGGTATCAAATGTAGTTTCAGCCACATGTTTTAAACAAAAGAATATGTTGTTAACTCTTAACAGTTTCCAGTGTTAATAAATGAAGAGCAACAGAGCAGCAACTGAAACACTTCACCCTCCAACCTCTAGAGGGCGCCTCCTTCAGCTTTAATGGAGCTGACACAACATGAGTCTGTGGCTCTGACCAGAGGGTCTCAGTAAACTCACACAACACAGCGTTCTTTTACAGATCAGAGAGCAGGCTTCTCTAAAGATGACCAACGCTTACTTTAACTTTCGACAGAACCCAACGTTTTGCGCATGCATCTGAATATGGCAACATTACAGCAAGCCGGCAGTAGTTAGCTTGTAGCTTCGCTACTTAGCTCTAGAAAACAACAGACTTTAACACCACTTGCGCACAGTTTTCAACTCAAAAAATGTAATGATTAAATCTGAAAACTCTGATTTTACATCAGACACAGCATTACTGCAGTTAGCCCGTAGAAGACAAGAGCTCTATCGTAGACTAAATGTCTTTTGTTTCTACCGTGTACCATTTATATCATGCACTGTCTCCAGACCATACAACACAGCTGGTCTCACCACTGTAAACTTTGTAAACTTTTCCTTTGACCATCCAGATTTACACCGAGCACTGTTTGCTAACACTTAGCATGATAAAAACAGTTACACGTCGTGGGATTAGCTTACTTACCATCTATGTTTAACGTCGTACGACCGTAAACTTCTGTGATAAATCCACAACGCCAGAAATGACTCCTCAGTACGAGATGAAATGTACAGTATAAAGCTTGGAAAAGCACAAGAACTCACAGTTGCTTGTAGCTACGTAGCTTCTTTGAACTTAGTTTGCATGTCAGCGCTGAAACTCCATAAGATGCTCATTGGCTGGATACATCACATGACAAATCACGTGACACAGGTCTGTTTTGACCCCGGGGGGGGGGGTCCATCCCCCACTTGGCACGCATCAGGCGGCTGCACTGCGCCCAGGCTGACAGGTTATTATAAAACGGGAGATAACCTTGAGGCCAGTTCTCACCTGCACAGCCTAGATTTTCTTGTGCGCAGAGAATGTGCGAGCAGTGCACGATTGGGCTGTCACAATCCTCACAGTTGGAACCCATTTGCAGGGAGGCGAGCGAGGCAGGAGTTTAAATAAAAATAATTTATTTAAACAACAAAACAAAAGGCTGTCGGTGCAGCAAAACTTACTTTGGCAAAACAGGATCAAAAACAAGGCTGAACAGGACATCAGAGTACACAGGCAGAGCAGATCATCAGGTGGACAAAAACAGACAGGACAGAGGAGGACTGAGATGTCTGTGAATACAGAACAATGACCGGACCAGGAGTGGAGGAGAGAAAGGCTTTTTATAAGACAGAGGGAGAGTGAGTAATGAGAGCACCTGGGCAGGTGGCTGATGAGGGACAGGTGTGAATGATAAAGACTGAGGAGTGAGTGGAAAACAGGACCAGATACACAGGAACAGAAACCACACAAAGAGCAGAACTACAAGAGCACAAAAAGCAGAGTGGGGAACACAGACACAAACAGAAACAGCAAATGGTACCATCCTTACATGGGCAGGTGCACAGTTTAGAGAGAACATTGATTCCAGTGATTCTCCTGGTTAGAGATTCATGAGTCTAACAGCCTCAGGGTAGAAGCTGTTCCTCAGTCTAGTGGTTCTACACTTAATGCTCCTTAACCTCCTTCCTGAGGGGAGTGGGGCAAAAAGTGTGTGTGCTGGGTGAGTGTGGTCCTTCATGATGCAGGTGGCCCTCTTCCTGCATCTGGAGGTGTAGATGTCTGATGGTGGGGAGACTGAGTGAAAGTTCTGACAATGTTTGAATCTGACGTGTGTGTGTGTGTGTGAAGTCCTGATCCTGTCCTCGTTGTTTTCCAGTTCCCCTCCCTGTGTAACCAGTACTACAAGCTCATCACCTTCATCTGTGAGATCTTTCCAGAAAAGATCCCACAGCTGCCTGAAGACCTCTTCAAGAGCCTGATGTTTTCTCTGGAGCTGGGAATGACCTCGTATCCTCTGTGTGGTGCATTGCTTCTTCTTTTTATTTGTTGATTTTTTGCAGTTTGTTTAATTTGTGTTGCTTTATTTCTGTCGTCTGCAGTCAGGTGACCAAGGCCTCGAGTGAACAGACAGTTTGTAACTGAACGCCCCTCCCCCACGTCAGAGGCCCACACCCTCCACACTCACGCCTCTCAAAACAAAATGTAACTTTTGTTTCTTTGTTTTTTGGTACAAGGGGTGGGGGGTGGGGGTGACCAGCCTGTCTCACCCCTCATTACAGATGACAAGCCATCATCAGACAAGAAGAATCTCTGTTGTTGTAGGGAAGAAAGGAGGAAAATACAAATTCCTCTTATCTCAGCTTGAGAGCTTTTCATGCTGGGGGGGGGGGGGGGGGGGGGGGGGGGGGGGTTATAATAGGTTTATAAGGTTTATAATAATATAAACCTCAGGTGCTAAGTGCTAGCCACCACCAAGTGATTTATGAAAACAAAGAGACCAGGAACTGGACAGAAGGCTGGGAAGCTGTATGGCTGCGAAGAGGGATGACCAAAACCAGCATCAGTATCTACAGCCCCCCACCCTGAACCCCTCCCTCTACAAGGCTGCTATTCACAGAATCTAAAAATAATCAGTCAAAAGCTGCACCCCGGACTGTATCCTGTTTCTTACCTTCAGGATGAGCAGTGAAACTCTGAAGGAAAACAAATCCAATCGGAGCAGGGGCTTTTAGTCGTCTTTATATAAAGTTGGACTGATGGTCTGAGGTGGAACGTTCCCAAAGGGGGGTGGGGGTGGTGGGGGGGGGGGGGGGGGGTTAAATGTTCATGAGAGAATTCACAGCAGAGTGACTTCATGTTTCCGGCACTTTGGTGACTGAACCAATGAGAATGTAACAGGCTGGTTTGTGGGAGGGGCTTGTTGCCTTGGCAGCAAAGTCCTTCTCCCTCATTTGTTGGCCAAGACCTTGGTGGCGATGGCACATTCCTCCCCCATGGCAGAAATCACGGTGACCATGAATTCTTTGTTGACCTCAAACTTCGCCTCGATTCCCTGTCCAGCTTGGCTCTCGGCGACGCGCAGGTCCTCTCATTTCTCCGTTGTCGCTCATCGAGGCCATGCAGTTTTCGTTGACGTTAACCAGCTGTCTGTCCTCCTGATGGAGGGGACATCCATGTTGTGGGCGCAGGGACACGTGTCTTCATACTTCTTGTTGAAGATGTCCATACCAACCAGGTTAGCCTTAGCATGTCCGTGCTTGCCGGTCTTGGAGGTGGACGTGTCTTCAGCGCCACGTAGCTGCTGTCGTGCAGAGCGAGGCACTGCGTGGGGTCTGTGGCAGAGGACCGGTCCTGAAGTCAGTATCTGGATCTGCCGGGGTGCGATGTGTCTGAGGGGCTTCAAACAAAACGAGCGCATCACTTCTTCTTAGTATTTTCTTCTGGCTTCTTTAAATAACTACAATTTCAAAAACTTCACATTGTTTATGGGATTGCTATTTTATAAACCTTTGCAGAAACCTTGGGTTTTATTTTCTCCCAACATTAAAACATTAAAAAGTGCATGAAAATAATCCCAGTTCAGGGTCTAATGTTCTCAAGTTATGAAAGGTGAAGTGCCGGATGTAGTTCGGTGCTCTGCTTGAAACGAAGGACAGTATTCCTCCAGAGCTCCTTAACGCCTCCTCAGCATGAGCTCTGAAATCAGTCAGCTGTGTTTGGAGGCTCTGTCTCCTCTGGCTGAACAGTGCGCCAAAAACCAGGAGAAGGACTCGCCCCTCTTCATCGCCACCCGCCACTTCCTGAAGGTGAGACTCACCTGCTGCTTGCATCAAACTTTCAAGGTTTGTTGGGAGTTTTCACCGTGTTCTCTGTCTGTGGCTGTAGCTGGTGTTTGACATGCTGGTCCTGCAGAAACACAACACAGAGATGACTGTAGCCGCAGGAGAAGCTCTCTATACGCTCGTGTGCCTGCATCAGGTGAGGCTGCCCCATCACACACTGAACCACCAGAAGCAGTTCTGCAACCAACGTTTTCTTACAAATAAAAAACCCAGGCAGATTCCTTGGACTGACAGTCAGCTGGGTTTCTACCTAATCATGGAAATGCTTTAGTTTACGACTTTAACTAGTTAGATGTTTAGAAATGAGCAGCTTGTTTGCATAACTGGTCAAAATATACCAACCAAGACATCAGTCTTAAAATCTGCGCTAAAACTGTGTTTATCTTTACAGTATGAATAAATGTGGTAAAGTAGGGCTGGACAATAATTCAATATCAATATATGTCACAGCATATAACATTAACAGTGATGTGAGTTTTAAGCACATTTTCGATATTTCGATATGATTACAGCGTTTCACTGACACATTTATTTTTCTGTTGAAACTGAGGCGGACGCTCCAGTTTCAACCCGGACAGAAAAAGCTGCAACACAACTACGTGAGTGCGTGGTGACGTAGATGTTACGCTGAGCTACAGTCCAGAAGGAGTTAGCGTAGCAGGCTAAGCTAATCTCCAACACGCGTGAAGTTTTCACTTCAGCATGAGTGTCCATGACCGTCAGAATGTGACTGACCCAGGTTTCACAAGTGAAGAGAAAACAGATGACATCATTGATAAGAGAAAGACTGATTCTGTGGTGTGGAAGTGGTTCAGCTGTCTAACATCTGATAAACTGCAGGTTTCAGTCAGTGAGCTGCAAAATGTGACGGAGAGTCGTTCCAACTAGTGGAGGGAACATCTGACTTGTTCCACATTTCATTTCAATTCAGTTTATTTATAAAGCTCCAGATCACAACAAAGTTGTCTCAGGGACTTTACAGGAACATTCACATAAAAAACATTTAGTGAAGTTCTCTATCTGAGGAATCCAGGAGACAAGTTGAATCTTGGCTTCGTCACAGTCTCCCATCCTGAGCAAGCACAGTGGAGACAGTGGGAAGAAAAACTCCCTTTAACAGGAAGAAACCTCCAGCAGAACCAGCTCAGGACAAGTGGCCATCTGCTTTGACCGGCTGGTTGAGAGGACAGGAAGGAGAGACAGACGAACACAGAATGGTAGGTCCAGATATAGATCCAGGTCCAGGTATAGGTCCAGGTCCAGATATAGGTCCAGGTCCAGATA